CCTCTTCTCTAGTGTGTTTGATTCAACCAATCATTGTTTAATATGAAAATTTGTGCTTACAACTCTTTCTAGGGGATTTGGATTATAACACAATCTAAATCCAACGTTAAGCCTATAAACGTTCCATTGTTTTTAGTGCCAAACCCCTTTGTTAAGTACAACAACAAATATTTCTTTGGTGTTTGTGAGCTCTTGTGTGATTGGTCAATGCATGGACAGCTCTTCCACTGCAGTGTTTTACTCCCTATCAATTTGGGACCTGTTTAACCATAGACAGTATAGTAGTATAGTAACACCATTGATGTACATCCATGGTAACACCAAAGTCAAACGCCGTATGCTCAACGCAAGCTGGGCTGGAATATTATAATGAGCAAGTAAACAATGACGTCATATTTACTTTGATGCGATGTCACTACTTTCGTATCGAACTACAAGTATCTTTCCCCAAACGAGTCGTTTTCTTTCCGCAATACGCATCTTTTGAACACACAATAGTTATCTGATGTTCTCGTGAACGTGGTTCACTAGTAAATATTACTTTTAATATATATGTTCCTGTTTAATTGAATAAAATTAAAAGTTAGTTTCAGACGACAGTAATGTTTCCGTACATGCTATATTCAGTTTGTACCCCGTTTTCGACAAAATATTTGAATATTTTTGTTTTCATGATGCATGAATCTTCTTATTATGTTATTGTTTACCGACTATGCTCGTTTTTCATTGTTCTCTGCCACGCATTTTTTTGTCAAACAGACTTTGAATCCGTATGTTCTCTCGTCTGTCACCATCTTGACTATAGCTCACAATCTTTCAACCGGAATTCATGTCCATGGTTGTACCCCGTTTTCCACAAAATACTCGAATATTTTAGTTTTCATGATGCATGAATCTTCTTATTATGTTATTTTCCACCGACTGTGCTCGTTTTTTGTTGTTCTCTGTCTTGCACTTTTTTTGAAATTAACTTTCAATCCTCCCGTTTTTATGTCTGTCGTCATCTTGACTACCTATTCACACTCTTTCAAACGGAATGTATGTGTAAGTTTGTACCCCGTATTCGACTAAATACACGAATATTGTTGTTTTCATGTTGCATGAATCGTCAAATTTTGTTATTTTCACTGACTACGCTTGTTTTTTCTTGTTCTGTCTCGCATTTTTTAATAGACTTTCATTCCGTCTTCCGTTTTCACGTCTGTCGCCATCTGGACCACACGTCCAGTCTTTCAGCCTAAATGCACCTCTACCTACGTTATACCCTGTTTTTATTAATAATTTCAACAAAATAACTCGAATACTTGTGTATAAGTTATTATTTTATTTCCACTATTCTCGGTTTTTTGTTACCGTTTCAAAGGGTTTCTTTTACGTGACAATCAAGAAAACGCAAATCTTCGCTATTTTTCGATGTTGATGCCCGGGCTCTGAATCACACACACAGAGTTGTTAACATGAATTGCTGTGTCTACTGCGTTTGGATCTTCTTCACTATCATTTCCACCGTCATCAAAATCCGAAAAAAACCTCAAGCAAATCATCTACACACGGGAACTCGTGATCAGCAACGGCCATTTTAAAACACCCATGGAATACCGTAGGCGACTCTCGTCAACAAAATTACGCATTTCGCGAGAGTTCACGACTCTCGCCGCCTATAAACAGACAGTTTTCAAGACGGCACTTTCTTCATAGTAAACAGATGTGCCCGTAAACCAATTTTGACAGGAAACAGAAGCATGGTTTAGAAGCTAATTTTTTAAAATCACTTTTGACCAAAAATACACATTTATGTGCATATTTCAAACTACAGTGTCCATAAAAAATACTTACAACATTTTAAAATTCATACAATAAGCTTTCCAAAAATATATAGTTTTGTGGACAAGGGAGGTCATCTTGGTTGCCTAATTAACTAATTAAAATACTAATTAAAATACCTGTCAGGTAAACTGCATCTCTACATTAACGAGGAATCGAAATAAACATTTAGTTTATGTTAACGGTTAGTTTAAATTAGCTTAACTTTTTTCCAGTCTAACCTGCTACAATAGAATCGCTGGAGTTGCTTGTCCTTCCTACTATATCCTACTATATACGTCCAAACGCCACCCTCTTGACTGGAGATCTGTGTTGAAAAATAACCCTTTGTTGTTGCGGTGTATGCAAGAAGATGAACTACTTATGTTTTTAACATCACTTCACCTATTAACAATTCACCCCTAGACGTGATAATTTCATTTCAATAGTAAAAATCCGTTCTCAAAAATCCAAATAATCACAACCTCACCAAAACTCATTTTCTATTCTTACCCACAAGCCACACCCAGACCATTCACCAAAACGAGTGGTCTGGGGTATACTAGTACTCTGACCCATGCCGAGGACTTCCTGTTTGTAATGCTATATGATAAATCTGATTAACTATCATGTGAAACCAAATGAAAATCATTCTAAAATAACGTATTTATACCCAATTGATTCTGAATTCATTGACCAGGGAGAAAGAAATGACATTTGCAATAACGAGCAGGTCCGGGTAGTAACGTCCGATTGACGAAATATACCTACATTGAATGCTAATCCATTTCCAATAACCAAATGTTGTTGTTTTTTTGCTGTCGTACATTATCTTCGGTAATAACTCCGAAAGTGAAGGCTTATCTCTTCAGCAGAACGTAGCCGTTTAAACTTGCAAAACGTGTCTGTTTCGACCGATCATCGCTTAAGCAGCATACAATTTATTTATTTTTTGACTCATTTATTTAAAAAATACGAACGGTGTCAATATTTAAAACTGCATTTTGTCTGTCCTGGCGTGCTTCAAAATGATATAGATCTTGGCCGATCGTATTTTTTACAAAGGACATGAATGTACAGCACTAATTTCACCCAACCTCCCGCTCGCCTCTGCTTTTTGGTCATTTTTTTACTCGCTTTTGCAACCGCATGTTGAACAATTTCCGCTTAATTTTTCCAGCGCGCGAACCCAGAAATATCGCCCGTCTGCACGCTCGCATTTTAAATACATGGCCGTGGCATCAATATGTTCCTGCTGTCTTAGCATTACCTGTACCACGTAATTGTCTCGATAATCATATTGTTGAAACGAGGTAGCAGCCCAGGATTCAAACTGAACACAGTCTCGCTCTGTCAGCTGGTTGTGGAACGTGTGCATAACAAAAGGTCATAGTTCAAGTTACGTTCGAGAACGAAACAAAGTATGATGGTTTGAAAGTGTCGTTCGAAATTAAATAATAGTTAATACTCGTTGAATCCTCAAACTTTGCACTAAAACAACCATTTTGACAACTCATGT